ATATATATATATATATATAAAAAATATTTATATCACATATAAAATATATACAATATATTATTGAGAGTATGCATTAATTTTAAAGGATTTTCAATAAATGGCATAACTAGTACTATCGCATCGGACCATATTGTTGCTACCTTCATGTTCAAAGCACCATCATGTGGCTTTAGTTTTTAGTATGTGTCATTTTGCAGAAGTGTAAACAACATTGTTTTTTTGAGCATTGAATATGTCGAATTTTGTGCTAACAAAACGTAATTTGCTTTGCTTTTTTACTTCCATTTGAAGAAAAGTGCTGCTGAAAGTCAACGAATGCTGTCAGAAGCTTATGGTGATTATACTCTATTGATTTCAACATGTAAATACCGGTTTCGACGCTATAAACAAGTGATTTTGACACGGAAGACAAGGAACGTCCAGGTCAGCCGAAAAAGTTTGAAGATGAGGAAGTGGAAGCTTTACTCGATCAAGACCCGCGTCAAAAGCAAGGAGAACTTGCAAAATCATTAAATGTTGATTGATCAACGATTTCCAGGTGTTCGAAAACCATTGGAACGATTCAAAAGCAAGGAAATTGGGTACCGTACGAGTTGAAGTCGAGGGACGTCGAAAGGCGCAAAATGATTTGTGAATTGTTGCTTCAAAGACAAAAGAAAAAGGTTTTTGCATTGTATCGGGTGTGACGGATGATGAAAAATGGATACGCTACGATAATCCGAAGCGCAAAAAATCATGATGTAGGCCAGGCGAACCATCAACGTTGATGGCAAAGCCGAATATTCATGGTGCCAAGCTCATGCTCTGTATTTGGTGGAATCAGCTGGATGTAGTATTATGAGCTGCTCCAACCCAACGAAACCATCACTGGGGAACGCTACCAACAATAATTGATGCAATTGAACCGACCATTGAAGCAAAAACGGCAAGATTACGCGAAAAGACATGACAAAGTGATTTATTTTCCAGCACGATCACGCTCGGCCACATGTTGCGAAACCGGTCAAGGAAACATTAGAAGCGCTTAACTGGGATGTCCTATCGCACCTGCCGTATTCTGTAGATATTGCTCCTTCCGATTACCACCTATTTCAATCGATAACTCGTGGCCTGTCTGAGCAGCGCTTCCATTCTTATGAAGATACCAAAAATTGATTCGTGGATAGCCTCAAAAGATGTGTCGTTTTTTCGTGGAATCTATTACCAGAAAGATGGGAAAAAGTAGTGACTAGCGATGGACAATATTTTAAATAATCAATTTATGATCATTTTTTCACAATAAAACCGTATTTTTACCAAAAAATCCGTTAAAATTAATGCACACTCCCAATATATATGAAAAATATATATAACAAATATATATTTTTATATATATATATATATATATATATATATATATATATATATAAAATAAAGATATATGTGCAATAGTTTTCATGCAATCACGAAACTTTTTTTTGCTCGTCCGCCCTTGCCTCTACTCGTTATAAACACTTGGCACAATTTTAAGTCGACATCCCTGGATGATATGATGTGTGCAGTTTGCAAGCATATCTCTCTTTGAATCTCTGCCGTCTCTGTCTATGAATGTCAATAAGAGACTAAGACTGCCAACTGTGAAACGCTAAACATGGAGCGATATTCGTAGTTTTTATTTTAAAATTGTCTTAAATAATGTCTCAAGATGCTAATACAATCTTCGGATTGACTTATAACATCTTCAGACTGTACATAAGACAATCTTAAATGTAAGGATGAATACCGACCTGCTTTGCGTCGTGAAATTGATACTGAATTTTTCCTTGTTTAACACACTTTATGTCTTTTTATAGAAAGAGAACACATTTTATGTTTCTCTTTCTACAGAAAAAAAACATAAAGTGTGTTAAAACATAAAGTGTATTAAACAAGGAAAGATTCAGTACCAATTTCACGACGCGAAACAGGCCGGTATTTCTAGTCGATTCTGCATTTAAGACTGTCTTAAGTACAATCTTAAGATGTCGTAGAAAGACCGAAAAAAGAGAAATTTAAGCAATTTTCAAATAAAAATGCATTTTTCACAATTTTGTTCTATTCTAATCGTTTTAATTTGATCATTTTCTCATTCAGAGATCAATTTTACATTGAAATACATCATTTTCAGATAATCGCAAAAGGACCCCGCACTAATCTTATACGAAATTGGGTCCCGGTGAAATCAAATGGTTTTCTCATATGTTATAACTTGTGACCTGCTAAACAAAACATATAAATTTTAGCGCAAAAAAACAGTTTTCGTATTCAATTCATCTACAGTCACTGACATCTCACCATAAAATACTCAATAACTTCTAAACGGCTAACTTAAAATTGATAAAATTACAGTGCTTCAACAAAGATTATAAAAAAATAAAAGAAAAAGTAGGGGTTTTTACTTAAAAAATCCGAATTGACTTTGCTCTACTTTGGCGACGTCACCCAAATTCAAACTGTTGAAATCAGCGGCTAAGCCTTTTTAAACTCTACAACTTTTATCTAAAACATTATTTTATAAAATTTGTAGTTTTCCAGATATTTTACCGTCTCGGAACATTTTATGTTGTACATATCCTGAATATTATATATAATAGTATGTAATTATATGTGACACTATAGGTATAATCATATAAGGAATATAAAATATTCCGAGACAGCAAAATATCCGAAAAATTATGTTTTATGAAAAAATGTTTTAGATAAAAATTGTAAAGTTTAAAAAAATCTAGCCACTGGCTTCATCAATTCAATTTGACTTTGGGTGGCGTCGCCAAGGTAAGGCAAAGTAAACTCGGATTTTTTAAGTGAGATCCTAATTTTTCTTTTATTTTCTTATAGTCTTTGTTGAGATCTTTTTAAAACACTAATTTTATCCATTTTAAGTCAGCCGTTTAGAAGTTATTGAGTATTTTATGATGAGATGTCAGCGACTTGTAGGTGAATCGAACATGAAAACTGTTCATTTTTTCGCGCTAAAACTTATATATTTTGTTTAGCAGGTCATAAGTTATAATATTAGTTATAATATAAGAAAATCATTTGATTTCACCGGGACCCAATTTCATATAGGATTAGTGCGGAGTTCTTTCATCTTGCACCACAGACGAAATGATCTCCTATAAACTTCAAACGCGCACAAAAAACGCAAATGATTTGATATCGCCAAACGAAACGCACGTTGGTACTAGATTTTTATCCCTACTTTTACGGACAATTTGATTTTTTCATGCGTGAAAAGTGCTGTCGCACAGCGTTATAATAATGAATAATAATGTATAAAGATGAATATAAATGAGAGATGCATTTTGAAAGTACAGTTTTTAGTTCTGTACAAAAATTTAGTAATCTAAAATTTTTGTGAAATATTGATGAAATTTTGATATATTATATATATTTATATTTATATTATATTTAACATTGCAATGTATTTTATATTAGTTTTAGATTAGTTTTAAAACAATTTTACTAGTGATTTTATCAAAATTTTTATAAAATTTTATTACAAGTTTAAAATTTTCATAAAATTTTGATAAAATTTCGATAAAAATTTGATAAAACTTTGATGAAATCACTGGTCCAAAGCGAACATAAAACTCATCAAAATTTCATTAAAATTTAATTAAAACTATTGAAATTTTTTCAGGGTTTTTAATTTTAAACAGATAATAATTCAATAATTTTAACGTGAGATATACTTATTTTGATTTATATTTGCAGTTGCAATGCTGTGGTATTGACAGCTATCAAGATTTTCCCGACCAAATTGGTAGAACTATCCCAGGAAGTTGCTGCGATAAGCCGGCATCTGACATCTGCGAACCAATCAACTCTTATCCGAAAGGTTGCGTAGAGGCATTAGAAAATCTCTTCAAATCTGCTCTTACGGTACTGGGTGGCGTTGCTTTAGGTATTGCTGCTGCAGAGGTAAGAAACTAAATAAAGAAAAATTAAATAAATTACAAAATTACTACATTTATGTATGATATTAAAAAGAGATGCACGAAATAATAATTAAATTGTGCATCTATCTTACAAAGAGAGACTCACATAAGTATTTTAATCAGCTTTTGCATGATTGTTATGAGTCACCAAAAAATAATCTCTGTAAAGCAGTAAATTGCATCTCTGTGTATTTTTCGAGAAAATCGTGATTTTTGGTCACAATGATTGATCGCTTTTAAACCTGGGGGAATCGATAGATATTTAAAAAAGTAATTTCCGCTTTTTTTGAATGTTAATGACGTGTTTTAATGGAAGTACGGTTAGTAAGTAATTGTGGCATGACACTAACGTTTATTCGGTGCACATGGTGTAGAAAGATAGTATGCTTTGCATACTTTTATGACAACTATCACCCATCATTATGTATATTATTTTGCCAGGGAGCATTGTGAATAACGAGAAATAAATCGTATTGTTGGCGGAACGAGGAACACGCAAAATCCTCTTCTTCATCATTTGAATTTCGCGGAATTAAGGCGAAATCGCCTCCACACAGCGATCTCGAGCGCGAATGGTCGTGAATCCGAATTTACGAATGCGATCAAGAGTAAGTTGATGAAGAAAATTCAAGTAAATTATTTAGAGGCTGAAAGATTCCGTTGGAACCGAAAGTAAAAGCGGAATTGAAATTGCATGTAAAGGAAAAGTAGCCGTTTCATTACGCGTCTAATAGACTATTTTCATTGATGAAAAGGTTTAAGATGTGTGCTTTTTTAGATGACCTGATCGCACGGGGTATCATTCATCCTAGCTCTCAGAATATGTTTTGCGAACCGTCGTGGTGCGGAAAAAGGACAGAAACATAAGAATATGCGTAGATTATCGTACTCTAAATAAAGTCACCACGCGAGACAATTATCTATTGCTAATAATAGAAGAGCAGATTGATTGCAAAGAAAGCGCTATTTTACATCGCTAGACTTAAAGGATGGATTCCATCACATATATGTAGAGAAAGACAGCATAAAGTATACGACTTTTATTACACCTTTTGGCCAGTATGAGTATATAAAAAATCTTTTGGACTAAAAAAAGAATGCATCAGCGTAATTTCAGCGTTTTGTCAATAAAATTTTACGTGACTTAATTAGAAACGTAGTAGCACACATGGATGATTTTCTCGTTGCGATGGAGACTTTGGAAAAACATTTAGAGATGCTTGACCGCGTTTTTAGATACTCGTAGAAAATGCGCTCAAGTTATGATTGCGAAAATGCCGATTTATGTACGAGAAAATTGAATTCTTGGGCTATGAAATTTCAGCGGAAGGCATACAGCCTAACGACTCGAAGATAGCGATTGTAAAAGAGTTCCCGACTACCAAGTGTGTCCGACATTCAGGGTTTTCTCGGATTATGTTCGTATTTCAGAAAATTCATAAAAGATTTTTCGGTAATTTTCGGAATTCTTGTATGAACTAACGAAGAAGGAAGCGGTCGAGTTTGGTCCAAAACAAAGAAACGCGTTTGAGCTTTTAAAGGGTAAATTGATGTCGACGCCAATTTTATTCATATATAATCCAAGCGATGAAACGGAACTCCACTGCGACGCGAGTTTGAAGGGTTTCGGAACAGTGCTATTGCAGCACAAATCGGAGAAATTTCACCTGATCTTTTATTTCTCCAAGAAAACTATCGAAGTCGAGAATCATGCTATCACAGTTATGAACTTGAAATGCTTGCAATAATATACGCATTGAGAAGGTTTCAGATATATTTACAAGATAATCCCTTCAAAATAATTACTGCAACGTGTTGGTCGTGGCCTTAAATAAAAAGGATATCCATCTAAGAATCGCGCGTTTAGGCATCAGAACTACAAAATTTCGAGTA